TATGTGTGAGGGGCGTCGGGTGTGGTGGAGTAGTTCATGGTTGGGTCATCAGCATGGACAATGATTTCTGTCAATGTAGAAATGAATCATCCTTAACGTCTGCAGAACTCAAGTGAGTCAAAAGAAAACGCTACTTCCACTAGTAAGTCAGAATCACAATTGATTTTGTCAACTCAATCGGGCCAGTCCTCAAGTGGTAAACAACAGTGGAGTGGAAGTGCATTTGGATCAAGGAATGAGTGGCACATTTTAAGGCGTTCAACAACAGAGATAGGCAGAAGGGCTTACCTGTAACGATCATTCTCCATCAGGCTTTTGAGTAATGATCCCCCAGTCTTGGGACTACATGATTAACTGAACTCTGGCCAGCATTTTTTTTTTCAAGAACCAAGTCATAAAGGCAATTATATGTGGACATTCTCAAACATGCAGCCTTCCTTCATAGTTATCCTTTATCATTATCATATTAATGTGTACATGTCATTAAAGCATATGCATTCTCCCATGGGGAATGAAAAATCTGTGCATCATCTCTCGTGTGTATCTTAGTATAAAGGTAGGCTGCCGTCACATATGCCAGTAAGAAACATGTTATGTATCTCTGATGCTTGAAAGCTGACATATAGCTGATGTTAAGCAACAAAGCTCCCTAAACAGATATGAAGGACAAATGCCATATGGGCGAAGCTGAGACTTTGTCCCAATTGGAAACATTAGCTTGCATACTAGAATGCTTTCTAATCCTGGATGGTGTTCAGAATCCTTCTTCTAATCCTCTGGGTTTTTTTTTTTTGCCTCAAACACAGACAGCATGTATTCTTTGTCAGATCGGCTAAAACTCCATCTCGACTGGGCTGCTTTGAAGGAGGCTTTTAAGAAAAAAAAGTCATGATGTCTGGAACATAGGATTGATAGAAATGTCAAATGGCATCCTTGAAATTCCAATACCAAAGAATGATACTCAGCATGGACTACTTGTAATTTTTTAAAGATAATTGATTTTTTTTGCTTTAATAAAAGATGTGTTCTCTCTTTCAAGAATTAGTATCTTTGATACTTTCAATTCAAATAAACCCAGCCCTGAATATGTTTTGGCTCTGATATTGTTTGTAGAAGGTAGGGAGTGTCATTTCAGTCCTAATCATTTTTTTCTATCAATTTTAAACCTAGAGGATACACAGGAAAAGAAACCATCTTTCTCTAATCAGTATGCTATACAGAACTGTGAAAATCAATGTAACTTTATCCCAGTTAACACCTCATTTCTTATTTTCCCAGCTTGAAAAAATGTATCATATTAAAAGACTGCTACTACTGACAATTTTAGGATAGTGGTATCTTCTGGAACACAGAAAGTGCTAACTTGTTCCTGCTTACCTTGTTTGTATTTGGCGACAATCAAATATATAGATTCCTCAAGGATGAATCATTGCCACAAAGCACTATAAGCTCCACCATTGCCTCAATTTCAGGCATCTTATTTTGTTAGTAACCCAGAAATTCCACTTCCCATCTTGTATAAAAGGCCAGTGAAAGATGAATCACAATTCTTCCTCTGATCCCTATTAACGTATGAATCAAACTTCTGTTTGATACAAAATGTCAGCCAGTATTTACTCCTTTTAATGGAAGGCACCAGGAAATGATGAAAGTTCAGAAGGTAAAACAACAGCTCACACTTTCATGAAGAAATTGTGCTGGAACCCTGCCAGTCCCAGATACTCAGCTTGTAGCAGTTGTCCTTCAGATCCAAAACAGATGGAAGCACACAGCAACCTGTCAGAGTCATACTATCCATCTCACTGAACCACAGAGGCCTCTTTGAACTAAAGAATTCTAAGTGTTGGGTTTTGATTTCAGGTCTAAGATAGTCAGGAGAATTCCCCTGGAGTTGGAACAGCAGCCTATGATAGGATCTGGCAGTGAACCCGAATCTGGGCTGCTTACTATGTTTATGAAGGGAAAGGAATACAATTTCTCTATCAGCAGAATGAGTTTTAAATGTGTTCTCACAACTTCTACTAATTTGGATCCAAGGCTAGTTATTCCTGTCAGCTTGTGAGTCAGGCGAAATCTGTTAGAAATAACTAAGCCAAGGCCAAATTCTATGGTCTGAATGGTCTGCAACCCAACCTACAATAATAAAGTTATGCCTGAGTTCATGAGCAAATATAGCACACATCATGTGAGAGTTAAGAACTTGAATTAAAATATAAATGGGGAGGAGTGAAAGTTAAGGGGCAGTAGAATTCAGAAGGAATTTTTGATACGGTTGATGTCCAAATTTACATGGCAGCTGCAACCAGAGAGAGAATGATCTTAGAAGAGTGTAATAATACTTAAGAATGTTTGCTAGCGATTGTAGTGATTCACAACACTGAGAATGTCCACCCCCTACTCAATGCTTACAGAATCACTGGCAGAACTGAAAACATCTTGAATTTTACACATATATTACTTAAACAGTATTAACAATAATAGTGTTATTACTGTTGGTATGCAGATGTACAGCTTCACTTGCAATCTTCTCAGTTTTTATTCCTCTAGTTGTTCCTGACTCCCCAGGCACTCATAAGAAGAAAAAGGCCCATAAGAAGAAAAAGATGGGAGGCACTTTGAAAAGAGCCTGGGGCAATTGGTAAGACATGGCTGATTTAAGATTAAAAAAAAAAAAATCTGAAGTCCAGCATTCAAAGGAATAACACTGGTAAAAAATATGTTTTGAAACACTTATTTCAAAAGATTTACACTCCCTTCATTTCTGCATCTCTGTATAAGGGAGCAAATACATCTTATGAACAGATGCATTGGATTTCAAGAAATTTCTAGTTCTGTAACCATTATTTCCCCCAATGATTCTGTAACATATACTTGGGAATAGTTTATGCCCACAAAAGAAATTCTTCCTGGTACCATTCCAGTTACAAAACCAATTCCACCAATATTTTCCTTTTGTCCCTTTCCAATTAAATGAAAATAACAGAATTTTTTTTTAATCATCATCACCACCACAATCATCATCGTGCCCCATGCAATTGGCAAAATGGTATGAGAGGATGGGCGGGCAATATAGATACTATTATTATGGACTGCATCTGAATGCTGTAAAACACCATAGAGCCTCCTTCTTGGTCTCTTCCCCCTCACCAATGTTTTCAGAGTTCATGAGCGGATTTGGTAGACTGAATGCATGGCTGCATACTGCTCTCCTGCCAATTTCCACTAGTAATGGGATGACACCATTAGATACAATTTCATCATAATGTGTTGGGATTAAGACTAGCAACTGGAGCAGACAAGTGGCCTTCCATTTACCTAGCAGGGAGATTATTCTACTTGTGGCCAAATTCACTTATGCTTCTACACAGTAAAAGAAATGGATCAAGATCTGGTGTGGTTGACAATACAGGTATTCTTCAACCTACGACCACAATGGAGCCCAACATTTATGTTGCTAAGTGAGACATTTGTTAAGCGAGTTTTGCCTCATTTTACAAACTTTCTTGCCACAGTCCTTAAGTGAATCATTGCAACTGTTAAATTAGTAACACGGTCGTTAAGTGAGTCTGGCTTTCCCATTGACTTTGCTTGTTAGGAGGTCGCAAAAGATGACCACATGATCCCAGGACAATGCAACCATCATAAACATAGGAGTAAGTTGACAAGCATCTGAATTTTGATCACATGACCACGGGGATGCTGCCATAAGTGTGAAAGATGGTCATAAGTCACTTTTTTCAGTGATGCTGTAACTGTGAACGGTCACTAAAGGAACTGTTGTAAGCTGAGGACTAACTATACAGGTTTCACATCATTCTAATTCTCAGCCAGCAGCTCCTTTTCCAAAAACATACTAAAAGCTGGTAGAGATATTACTGGATACTTTAAAGAGCTGCTTAAACATCTGACATACTGAACGTTTGTTAGACTTGTAATACGAAGTTTAATATTGTAATGTCCTCAATAAATAAATAAACCAAAACAAGAGAAAAGAGAAAGCACAAACGTCATTAACTGTACTTTAATGACACTGTAAGTCAGTGGAGAAGTGAGGCCAGAAATAGAGAAAGCAGGAGATTGCTCCCAGAAAGGATCTGCTCTATGCCTTGACTGGCTCTATGGCTCCCCTTTCGAGCAGCAAGAACACCTGGTGACAGAACTGGGGGAAGTAATGAAAATTCTACCACTCCTTTTACCAAAAAGTGTGTACCTGGTTTGGTGCCTTTTCTAGTTTGGGCGATGAGGTACACAGTATCACAACTGGTAGCAAAGCAAGAGCATACGAACTTGCAAAAATGCTGCCAAAGAAGAGTCAGGAGACATTTACCATTCATCTGAGTGTGACTAGGTATGTACGTACATATGGGCTGGAAGAGTCATTATAAGCATTTAAATTTACATTGTACATTTGTACAACAGTTCAGGTGGAATGGCCCCGAATAAACCAAATATATATATATATATATTTATATTTATATATATTTATAGACTTTGTATGTACAAATATATATCCATCTTGACAGATATACCTCAACTCTTTGAAAAGGATAAAAGCTAATAACATCTGTCTTTGCATGCACAGCTGTGAATTCTGTTCTGCTCAGTTGGTATGGAGAGTTGCAATCTACCCCCTACAAATGTGTCCCGCTAGGGGAATTTCCCTCCTTTTCCCTTTCCCTTGTAGGGGAGAGGGGAATGAGCCCATGGTGCTGGTGAAGAAAAACTCCTCATGGCCAGATTCCACCTCCAAAACACACTACAAGGATATACTTTTATTGCTAATCAAATAACCATGGGTATGGAGAACATTACCCAAACAATCTCACCACTATGGTTTTCATTCTGACCAAAGCCACATGAAGCATTGCTCTGCTTTTCCACTATCCATAAGTTGCTCTTTGCCCAGAGGAAGTCAAGGAAGAAAGGAAGGAAGGAAGGGAGGGAGGGAGGGAGGGAGGGAAGGAAGGAAGGAAGGAAGGAAGGAAGGAAGGAAGGAAGGAAGGAAGGGAATGAAAAATAGGCCCAGGTACCAGCAAAAGTGTCATGGGGAAGGGATGAAGGGATGAGAAGAACACGAGTGCCAAAGATTCCAGAAAACCAAGCAAAAGGGGTTTCAGGTGAAAGAGAAGGATGTCCCTTGGTTGATCTGCAAGGACAAGCAGCTTGAACATGGAAACTCGGCTGCTGGGAAGAGGAGCAGCAGCAGGAGCAACAGCAGCAAGAAGAGATGGTGGCAACGGCCCTCCATGTCATTCACCCAGGGAGACAGTCTACCCCCTCTCATCTCTTTGATCTTTGTTGAAGGCCGGAATGAAATGAATCTCCAAATAGGTAATATTAAACTTTTTTTTTTTTTTAAGATAAGGGTCCAAAAGCTTATAAAGGAGATAAATAGGCACCACATCAAAAAGGCAAAATTTGGATAAGGCTAAACAAACAGGAGAGAGAACAAAAATAATTAAATGGAAATTGCACCAGCAATGCCCTTTGCCACAGAGACAGGCTTAGCACCAGGCCCAGAGGGCTGTCAGTCTTGCACAAGTGGCTGGCAAGTGAAACTCCGGAAGAGACATCCCTTGACAAGGTCTCTGGATATGCCTCCTTCAGCAATGTTCATGGGGCACCGATATGTACAAGAAAGCACTCTAAATGAATAAGAGGGATCTTCATGTCATAGGGCGGTGCTTTCTGAATCCTCCTCTGAACTGATTTTTCCTGGTACCGGATGTCTCTGGACTTGACCCGAAGGATCCAAGTGAAGTGTGGCATCAACCTCTACATGGATGGAAGGGATATCAAGATGGGCCAGATCTGTAACCAGGCACAGACAGAAAGGGAGACCAATTACCAACCTGTCCCGAGCCTTTTTCTGCCCACCCCATGTATACTTTTAGTTAATCTGATAATGTAGAAGCTTTAACGGAACAGAGCAATGAGTACAGTTCTTAGAGCCTGCTAATGCCAGAGAAAGGGATGTCATAATATAATCTTTGTTTATACCTTTTTGCTTTTATTCTTTAGAGTTATGCCTTCCCTGGAAGCATTCCTTGCTAAGTGAATCTGTGGACACAACCTGGTAGTCAAATGATGGGCAAATAATATCCGGGTGATCACCTGTCTTAAAACCTCTTATGAAGCAAGGGCTTCTTATACAGCTGCTGTTTTGTTCATTTCAAAATGATCAAATGTTTCCTTTGCTCCTCATCACAGCTTGGCTTAAAACAGAAGCGCCTTGGCAAAGGAGCAAATACCACAATAATCCTTTTACTCAGAATTTGAAATCTCTGTTTTTCCCTCCCCCTTTCCTCAACAGTAAATATTCCAGTCATCAACTAAAGTGATGGGGACTTTGGTTCATAAGGAAAATGTGTACATTCACTATTAAGGAATTCCTGTACTTTACTATCAATACTTTACAAATAACAAATAATTCGGCAGGTTTTTTGGATTTGGGGGGGTTTGGGAAATGGCTTAATCCAAAATGCTAGAGGAAATTCTGAAAAGCAGAGAGGTTAATACTTCCTAAATTCTAGTTTACTGCTGAAAAGGTGAATAAGTGATTCGGTTCTCTACACTGCATGCTGCTCCCTGGTGGCCACTATAAACTTTGAAGAAGACAAAACTATCCGTTGACAAAAGCCCCTTTCTGGTGATGCCATTCTTATGTTATCAATGGGAAGCCTTTCTTTATCCATTCACACTTCCATGTGAGCTGAAACTTATGAAATCAGGCTCCAATTCACATGGAGGAATGCATCTCCTTCCTGATGCTATCTTCAGGTGAAGAAGTCAACCTGTGAAGGTCTCCCCTAAGTTGTAACAATATTGAAGAATTGTCAGTATGGTAGAGGAAGCCTTCTATACAACACGTGAGACATGCAGAACAGCTCTTCAGCAATATCACAGAGTGACTTACAAAGGGGAAGAGTGGCTCACTTTCAAAGCATGGCCAGAAAAGCGTAACAAAGGACCACACATCCAGGAAGGAAGGAATATATACAAATTTCAACTCCAAACACCACCAGGTTCACAGCATACCCCACATGAGTTCTTTCTCGAATCATATTAATTGATTCATAAGAGAAATTCCAAGTGGGGTCAGAAGTGATTAGACACTGTTGGCAAACTCTCTTATGGAAGATTAGGAGAATACATGAGATGGGATAAATTTTACTTAATTACAAACAAACAACAGCACACAGGTTGTTCTGAACAAGTAACGTCCTCTGCAAATTGCAAGCTACTTCCAAAACTCGACAAGATGCTCACAGGACCACAAGATATCATGAAACATTCTGTTCATTCACACCTTCCAAACAACCAGCACTTTGAGGATATTTGGGATACCAAAGGGAAACCTCCCTGACATTTTCAGTTGGTCAATCCGTGTAGGAAAAACTGTTCAGAACCATCACATTCCTCAACTTTTTAAAAAAGGCTTTTCAGATTGTTTGAAAAGACCTCAAAACTCATTAAAGGGACTGGGAGATGTAGGCAAAGAAATGAGGGTCATCTAGTGCAAGCAGAAAGGTCCTCTTCTATCTAGGGCAGTGTTTCTCGACCTTGACAACTCTTAAAGCTGTATGGACTTTGACTCTCAGAATTGCCTAGCCAGTGTGAGATTTGAAAAAGGGAAAGAAAACATTTTCACAGTTGCCACGATTGTTTTGATACTTACAGTCCTCACTGCAAATTTCAAAAACAGTTGCCCAGTTTGGAACCACGGGGTGGAAACGCCATGCTTGATGGCAAAATTTTCATTCTCAAAATTACTCTGAATGACCTATCCTGACTTAGTCTTGTGTTCTACACTACACTGTAGTAATTTTGCAACCAGTAATCCAAAGGCAAATGCACACCAAGCAATGTCACAATGTATTTACGTTAAGTCCAGTTTTTCGTCTGCTCTGTCCCATAATTTCTTATGGCACAAGACGCAGATTGTGCTTTCTCCTTATTTAGTGAAAGTTACCTTATCCTATGCTATTTACATAATGGACTTCTTTTCATATCATTGTTGTATGATCATTGTAACCATCACTGAATGTAAGTGAGAAAGATGGGAACTTGCAAGAGTCTGTGAGTGGCATAGGAAACTTATAATTTAAGCAAACAAACCCCTCTCAGTGTACTTTACGCACGAACATATCCAAAGTTGAAGAAATAAGAAAGTTACTCCCAAATACTCATGGGAAACACACTTCTTAAAAAGAAATGATTCACAAAACTTTAGTGCCCGATGTGTAGAAGAGCATTCCCATTGCAATGACTGCTCTTCTTGGAAGGTGAGAGAAGATCCCATCGTCTATGTGAATTGGCTACACACCTTATCTGAACCTTCCTGTGCTCTTGAAGTGCCCCAGAGGTGGTTCTTTTGGCTTCATCCATAACAGTGAGTGTCACTAGTATTAGTTAAATGGTAATATCATGACATCCCTTTGGAAAGAACACATGGAATGGCAGAGGGAGAGAGTTAACATTGGTAAGAAAGGACCAGCAAGGTTAGGAGCAAGTGAATCCTGTGGCTTGGAAAGGAATTAATTGAATGAATTAACTGTCTGTGTTCCAAAAGTCTGCCGCATGTGAAGGCCAGTGATTTATAGAAGCACCCTCCAAGTTTACTAATAATAGTATTATCAGGAAGCTTGGAATGGGGGTTCAGGCTGGAGCAGCCATGCTGTTCCGGATCAGTGGGCCCCATGCAAGGCGAGTGAGATGGTGATAGGTGACTCTGAGACAAGGCATAGTCGCAGGGCAGGGCAGGGGCAGTAGGTGGTAGTAGCAGAAGGGCAAAGGTTCAGGGAAGATGGTGGGACTCCAGCTTACCCCAAGCAGTCCCCTCACACCTATCCAATATTGCACCACGTGTTTCAAACAGCTGCAAGGACACAATAATAGGATTGGGAAATAGGAACAGAAGAGAAACAGCAGCAACAAGACAAAAGTAAAACACAACGGAAAGTCTAAACAACAATACACCTCTCTACCCATCCCTGAATAGGAAGCTGGTGAGCCCTGATCTCTTCTCATCCTCCTTTCATTGGATGAAATAGTGATCTGTCTGAAGACTGGCCCTGTAGTCCTTAGCAGGTGGCATGATGGGAACTGCTGCCATCTCTCATTGCTACTTAATATTCATACCATTCCAGTTTCTAATATTCATATCATTAGAAGGATTAGCTCAAGGCTTCAGCATACTATGAAGCAGCTAGTTCCCCCCCAAATATAATAAAAAGAGATTAAAAAAAACTCCTTATAGAGGTTTAAAAACTCTTTATATCTCCCATTTTTTTGCCAATTCCCTTGCCTCTCCCCTGTCAGCTAGAAGCATTTGTGCCTAAGTCTACATGTCCTCCCCCCACCTCTGCAAATCCAAGAGTAGAAACTTCAGCCCAATTGAAAAGAAACTCGTGCTCATCCAAGCATCAGACACGAAAATAGTGGAACAGTTCTAATTCTTTCTGAAAGGCCCATGTTTAGGAAGGAGTCCAGCTCTTGGAAAACCTGTGAGGTTGCAGAAAACTGTTATAATTGGATGTTTTCTATTAAGCATTCCAGTTCATAGTACTAGCCAAGCCAAGTCATCTCTTCTAATGAAACGGGTGGCGTTCACCCTGCTGTCAAAACAGCTGCATTATGCACTGTTTACCACACATGCTGAAGAAGGAGATTGGCACTTATGAATCAATGGCTTGGGGTGGGGTGGGCAGGAACAATGTGGTCAAATAGGCAAGGTGCATTTTGCCACCAAAGCATTTCTGGGCCAAATTGCCAATATTTGGCAGCCTAAGCTTGTATGCCTGAAGCATGACTTCACTGTTTAACTCACCCCAAAGCACATTAAACCCTGGCCATGTTCCTTGAGATCTTCAGAAGGTGGAAAGAAAAAATGTTAAAAACTCAGAAACATAATGCCGACCTGGAACAGGACTTACTCCACCTTGGCACAACCATGCCAAAGAGAAATTTGCACCATATGGGAATGCAACATGGCACATCCAGGGGTATACTACTATCTTAGTGCCTTCAGTAAAGCCTGGAGGAATATATGCTACTATGCAGCAATTTGCTAAAGACAGCAGTGCATGCTGGAATGTATTATCTCTGAGGAAAGCAAGAATCAAGGTCACCTGCCCTAAGATAAAAATCCTGTTTTCTTACCTATCCTATGTCCCTCAAGGTCATCATCATCATCATCAAAAATCAAGTCATAGCGCCAGAAGGTATTCTTCTTTCCCTCATCACAGTGATAGATATCTTATTCTTTGCTGTTTTGTTCTGCATACAATACTTGCTTTGGAATTTCTGATTGAATAATATTTTGTAAAACGTGCCGACTACCTATAGGAATAGACTTCTTTCTTTTCTTTAGTTCGTTTAAACTAAAATAAGGTTAAATAAAATGAGCATTCCTGATTTTGAAATCAAGGCTGTGGAAAAACCAGAAAAATGGCATTTTAAGCCTTGCAAAATGCCACCTCAGTTTTGACTTGATTACAGTGGCTCCTATGCTTCACTTGGGTTGTTTCCATCTTTGTACTCCTTTTGCAGTGCCCATCACTAGCTCCGCCTTCCGTACTCAAAAGGAAGAAAAACCAGAACCCGGACAAGCTCTTCCCTGCACCATCTGATCTCTGCTAGTAATCCCAGCTGTTTCCCAAACCATAAGCCGATGTCCCACTTTCACTCTCTGGTTACCTGTGGACATGCTCTCTCCAGGAGACATGTCATCTAGTATGGTGTGCTCTGTGGACTGTGGACTGGAGCCAGACGCATTGGATGTGGGAGGCTGTGGAGGTGGCAGTGTAGGCCTCTGTCGTGGCTTGGGGGTGGGCCGAGATTTGGTTAAAGTGCTTGTTAGGGAAGGAGGAGAAGACAGGGAAGGAGCTGCCACTGGGGAGAGAGGGCCTGAACTTAAGGTGTAGCCTGGTGGGTAACTCAGTCCATAGGGCGATGGAGTGCTGGGTGGAGTGGGAGAAAGGCTGGCCGGAGATGGCTGCCCTGTCGATGGATCAGACATACCACCAGACTGGCCATAAGGACCCTTGGCAGGGAGTGGGGTCAGCTTCTTTGAAACTGCAGATAATGAGAAAAAGAGAGAGAGAGAGAGGGAGGGAGAAAGACAGAGAGAAATGAGGATCACCGTTCACTGGAACTCAGCTGAGCTTCTTACTACCAGTTTCTGAATACAACGGACAAATCCTAACCGTAGTTAGCAGATGAATCTGAAACATGTCTAATATAAAAAGTGGCCCTAAGGGTGTGTGTGTGTGGGTAGAACCAGTAGAACCACATATTTCAGAGGTGGTATCCTAGACACAGGTTATTCTTTACAGCCTCCCTCCTAATCATGTAACACCAAATTCTAAAGCTACTAAATGTTTTGCAGTTTGTCTTCTTCTTTTAACCAATTCTCAGTTTAACCAGTTCCTGATGTAGGGAAATTTGATAACCATCAGAAAACAGGTTGAATATTATTACATAAATGTATCTATGGATGCTAGTTAAAACTATTTGTTATTAATTTCCACGGAACACACTTTTCCTTTGCTTCTAAAGTCAGAAGAACCCCCTCTTTATAACCTTCCACCTACTGTATGTTTAAGAGAACCGATTAGTATTTTTAGTTATTATCAAAATAACCAGTTCTGAGTTCACCAAATTCCTGATCTTATTTCAGCAACATGACCTGACCTTGTTTTAAAAAATAAAAAGCAGGATAAATCTAAAGTGCTGATTTTTAAAGGACCTCTTTAACAATGCAGTATTTTGCAAATTGTTTGACTATTCCCTTGCAGTTGGCTTCTGCTCAGACCTATGCACTAGATACCTTGCATACCAATGAAGAGAAACTGGGACTGAGAAAATAGGGGCTAGGTAACCTTGGACTGAGGTCGTATATACTTAAGTCAAATTCTACTTTCAAGCCCTCTTGAATTTAGTAGCCTCCATATGTGAGAGAGCCTAGTACTCACCCATACGGACAACTTAAAGCTCCCCAAATGCGTGCAGGAAGCTCTCGAATCCACCACTAAAATTGACACTAAGCAATTAACACTTGGGAGAGTTATATTAATGCTATCATTAATTCATTATACTGCAAGATAATCGTATTTAATCAAATTTAGTTTTCACTCTACTTACTCCCTTCCTGTTTTGGGACATGCATTTCCTGGCATATCATTCGAAGTTGGCCATATGGAAATTGGGTACCTCTGCTCTATCTATGTTGTATAGTGGAACATACTTTTGCTTTCAGTAGTCCTCTATCTTCCGGATAAATTAGAGCTCAGATATAAAATGCATACCTTTCCGCAGGGTGTGTGGACTTTGTTCTGTGGATAGCTGCGCTGTAGGACCTGGGGGCTGTTGTGCAGCCCCACCACCTGGTGTTGTGTGGCTGCAAGCCAGGCTCCCTTTTGGCCCAGACACTAGTGAGAGTTCCTTGGTTTTCAGAGTGCTAAAAGCAAAATAAAAGATCAAGAGGTAGTAAGCTATGAGTCACTCTGCACACATCTCAGTTCCCTTAATTTTCCTGGGAGAGTCCCAGGGTACTCCCTGCTAAGATAATGATATTTGCAAAACAAAGCAGGTTTATGTCTTACTCCCAAACACATGCCTAAAGGACCAGACAATCTTGCACATCCACCTTCAAAGCAGTTTAAGCATGAGGAGAGCATGAATGAAGCCACAGCCCTCTCAATCATTCTGTACACAGCAATGAGACAAAACAAAAATGGAGGGAAGCTGTTTTGAGCTTATTCTGGCATTCAGTCTGTCCTTACGATGGGGAGAGGAAGAAGTGTTTTATAAATTAAGATACTTTTTTTGTGTCTTGGACTTGGGAGCATATCCATCCTCCAAATCTGTCCCTCATATATCACTCTTAATTCATTCAACTGTAGGCGACATAAAAATCCCCATGAGCCACTCATCTGTTAGGGTTAGCCAATGCGGCCCAATATCCAAGGCACCAAAAGTGAGCAACAATTTATCTAAGTGAGTGAGGCTGGTAGACACAAAACCCACTAACTGGAATCTTACTGGAAGGACTCAAAAGCTGGTTTTTGTTGTTGGGGGTCTCATATATGCCATATGGTGATGGTTGGTTACTTCCAAAGAATCTGCTGATTTGGCCCTGTTTGCGTATGGCCCAGATCACAATCACATAATTGGATAAAGGATTTTGCTGCGCTCCAAAGAAAGAATGGGATTGCTACTCTGGTTTCCTCTATAAGTTCTTAGAAACTATTATTTTGGGAAAATGACAAGAATTCTCCTGGAAGAACTTCTTTTCTCAAGTTCCCTAGAGACAGAAGACAAACCGCTAAACCAGTTTTTTTAGAGGTTGTTATCTATCGTCTATCGACCAAAGCAACTAAAATGCTTTCGAACACTGAGGAGGTTGCCAGCAAAGTGAGGTTCAAAGAAAAGCCTTTTCTATTTTCCTGAGGAGAGCTGGGGTCTAAACACCATTCTCTGGTATCCCAAAAGGGCTAGCAGGCGGTGGTCACCCTTCCAGAATCCACCATGCCCTGCCAGTGTCAAATAAACAATTATTTACCTAGTGAGCACGGCTCCTCTGTCTCTGGCACAGGTGCAGCTGACCCAGGGGGAAGAAACTGACATGCTGGAGCTATACGGAAGAGTGCCAGGAGGATTAGGTTTGGATAAGGTGAAAGCGTTTTTTGTGGTGACAAAGGAAAGGTTAGTCTCAGGACCATGCAGTTCTGTGAGGGAAATCTGCTTAGGGAGATGTAGGAAATTAATGTCAAATGACTGAAAGGAGGGGGAAGAAGAACAGGAAGGAGAACAAGGGGGAGAAAGTGTTGGGTTGTTCCCTGCCCAATGGTAAGGCGGCAAGGGAGGCTCAGGCCTAGTGCATGGGCTGGTCCTGGGGGGGTAAGGGTAGAAGGAAGAGTAGTGGGGGTACAAGGGAGACTTGTTGTCTTCAGGGGATGGATAGATGTAACAGGAATCCGACCAATTAGACGACACATCATCCGTGCTGCAAAGGTCCAAAACAAAAAAACAAAAAGGAAAAAAAAAAGAGCAGAGAGCATTTGTACAAGGAAGCACTGAACTGGAGTTCCAATCACAGCCCCAAAGCATGAGGGTGGCAGAAGAGCAACCAAAAGAGTCAAGGGCTCTGGAAAAGTCCAGATGTTCCCCTGGTCTAGTTTTTTACTTCTTCTTGCAAATGTATGACATGCGCCGGAAACCCAAGAGGCGGCCAGCACAGCTTTTCCTTTGTCAGCACCTGATCCCAAGACAGTACCTGTTTCTAAACAGTTGGGTGTTTGCAAATGCCCTACATGGCTTTAATCTGTAGGGGCAGGGGAAGAATAATCTGATTTGAGATATCTTTTAAATCTCTTCCAGGACATATTCATTCTTTTAGTATTAATATATTAGTTTCTGTAATGTATTTTTGTAATATATAAATGTCTTGGAAGCTGGGTGGTGTGTGTGTGTGTGTGTGTGAAGAAAGAAAGAAAGAAAGAGAGAGAGAGAGAGAGAGAGAGAGAGAGAGGGAAAGAGAAAGAAAGAAAGAAAAAGGAAGAGAGAAAGAGA